CATTGGATTTCCCTTCACAGAAATAAACTGTGGCATGCAAACCAGAGAGAGAGTCCCCCCCCTGATTTCTTTGCTCGCTCTATAGACTTGAATTCTTGAAGAAAATCAGTGAACCCCACAAACATATGCTGGCTCGAAACTCGAGTGAAGAGAAACCTCATCACTGAGCTAGCCGGGCCACACTCGAGGAGATCGAGTCAATGGGCAGGGACACTTCCAGCAGAGCAGGTTGGTCCAAGTCCCAGTGTTGACCTTGATGTCTCTGGCCAAGTTTAGTTCTATTAGGGCTTAAGCTTTCCCAAGACAATCCCTGGCTGCTTGGACAATCCCCCTGTATTCCTCCCAGGCTGTCCTTGCTTCCATCCTCTGCAGGCTTCCTGTTTGTGTTTGGCTTTGTCTGGGAGTTCATTTTTCATCCATGCATGCCTCCTTGCATTTCTGCCTGACTTCCTATTTGTTGGGATACATCACTCCTAAACTTGGAAGAGATAACATGTGAAGTTTATGTATTATGATGTATGCCTATATGCATGATATACAGGAAAGAATTAATAGCATTTTCACTGTTAGTTAAGAGGGAACTTAATAAATGTTTCATTCAGTTACATAACTTGCTTAAATGTCATTACATAATGGGGCTGTAAAAATTGAGGGTTTGCTGAATGGGGGCTTTAGGGTTTTTTTAGCTCCAAACATACTGGGTGCTGATAAATGCACTTGAAGCTACCCTTTCCTTTGCCTTGCACCACTGAGCTTGTATTTCTTCAGAATGATTGCCGTATTTCCATCAGGAACATTCAGTCAGGTCATTAATTTTAAAAGTTGAGAGTCATACTTGATAGCGCTTTATAAGGCATGATTGGCTTACAGCAAGCTTCTTGGTGTGGGTAAAATAGAATATTCAGTACCTGGTGCAACACTGACAGATGTCACCCAAACAACTTCGCTATCCCTGCCCAGGACAGAAAGAACATCTGAGCCACTGGACCACCAGGAGGTGCCAGGAGGTGCCAGCATCCAGCTTACGTGGTGATAGAACATTTTGATGTTGATCCTGAAATTATAACTGATACAGTCACAGAAACACAGAATATCCTGAAATGGAAGGAGCCCCCACCAGATTCATCCAGTCCAACTCGTGACCCTGCACAGACACCCCAACAATCCTACCCTGTGCATCCCTGGGAGCATTGTTCAAATGCTCCTGAAGCTCTGGCAGCCTTAAGGCTGTGCCCATTCCCTGGGGAGCTTGTTCTGTGCCTGACCACCCTCTGGGGAAAAATCCTTTCCCTGATACCCAGCCTAATCCTCCCCTGACACAGCTCCAGCAGTGCCCTTGGCTCTCCTGTCCCTGGTCAGAAGGAGCAGAGACCAGAGCTGCCCCTCTGCTGCCCCTTGGAAGGAGCTGCAGCTGCCGACAAGGTCTGCTCTCAGTCTCCTCTGCTCCAGGATGAACAAACCAAGTGACCTCAGCCACTCCTTCTTCATTTACTGTCAGTTAATTTAGTTGTTAAAAAAAAATTATATTACTCTGATCCTGATTCCATTGAAACCATAGTAGTTGAGTCATTTTGTTCATGATAAAACTATTTTTCAATTTCATGTTAGGTACAGGAGAAACTTCTAGTATTCTATGGCAGACAGAATCAAAAAGAAGATTAAACTAGGTGCTAAAATAAAAGACAGATATTCTGAAATAATTGAAGTGCATGAAAAACAGTGAGAACTAAAATGTCATCATCTTAGTGATGTTTTGTTGAACTCTTTCCAGTAGCTTCATATCCCACTTGTTCATTATCCAGCTTGGGAGCCCAGCTGAGGCCTCACCAGCACTGAATAGAGGGAAAGGATCTACAAAGACATGCCAGAAGGTCATGTGGCCATCCAGAGGAACCTCGAAAAGCCTGAGAAATGGGCTGACAGGAACATCACCAAGTTCAAGAAGGGGAACCCCCAAGTCCTGTTTCTGGAGAGGAACACTACCAGGCAGGCACCAGAGCATGCTGCAGGCCTCCTAGCTGGGCTGGAAAGCAGATGGTCAGGAAAGGCTTGGCACGTCCTGGAGAGCACCAAGATCAACACAAGCCAAAATATGCACCCTTCTGGCAGAGAAGAGCAAAGGGATCCTGAGTTGTGTTGAGAGTGCAGCCAGCAGGCCAAGGGAGGGGATCCTTCTCCTCTGCTTAGCACTGGGGAGCACCTCTAGTGCTGGCTCCAGTTTGGGGCTCCTCAGCTCAGAAGAATGCAGTGAAGGGCTGTGAAGATGATGATGGAGGGACTGGAGCAACTCTGTCGTGAGGAAAGATGGAGAAAGATGGAACTATTGAGCCTGGAGAAGAGAAGGCTTAGGGTGATCTTATCCATGTCTATAAATACCAGAAGGGAGGGCACAAAGAAGAGGGAGCCAGGCTCTTCTCAGTGGGCCCAGTGACATGACCGGAGTGAGCGGTCACAAACTGAAATACAGGAGATCCCCTCTAATCTCCAGGAAACACTTTTTTATTTTGAGAGTGACCACACACTGGCACAGGTTGCCCAGGGTGGTTGTGAAGTCTTCTTCCTTAAGCTATTGGAAAACTGCTGAGACACAGTCTTCCTTTTCATACTTGTTCACAAACTAAAAGAAAAGAAAATGCAAAAAAGTCCTATTTGCTAACACGTTAGAAAACAGTAAAACTCTGGTAATTTTTTTAATATATCTTTTATTTCCATTGATACTTGTTTCAGAAGTATATTGGTTTGGTACATTATTACCAAATTAAATACTTTTATTACTCATTCCAGAAAAGAAGGTGCAACTTCAATTACATATTATGTTTTTCTTATAGAGTTTAGCAATATGACAAAGTAGATAATGTACACTTCTTTGCTTAAAACTTCAGTAACTGAAATTTTCATGAATAAGAAAGCTTACAAAGTTCTATTATAATACATTCTATTAATGCCTTTTACTGAGAAAATTTAATTAAAGTCAGTAAACTCATAGAAAGAATAAATTGAAATACGTCTGTTCTGTGCAATTAGCAAAGTCCTTTCCAAAAAAACCAAAACCCAAGCACCCACAAACCACCAGTACAAAAGGTGTTTGTAGTGACAGCTGACAAATGATTGTGAACAGCATTCTACCTGGGCCAAATCAAGTGTCTTGTAAAGCATCAGGATTATCTAATTCCTTACAGAAGTGGCTATGTCATGATAACATTTTATGAGGTATTTAATGAACATTTATAAAGCTGGGAAAGAAGGACAAAGAGTAAAAACTCACAAAAGTAAATAGTTTACATCTCCTCTTATTTTATATCTATTTCCTGGCCTGGGAAAATTTTTCTTTCCAAACCTGCATGATGCACAGTACATAGCAAAACTCTTTGGAGCATTAAAAATTTGTCACACTTATAAAGCAGAAGTAGCATGTGCCCACAGCCAAGACTGACATTGAATAGTGACAAACTGGTCTCCATGTCCAGACCTGTTGATCATGATGAATAAAGGCTGCTGGTGTAGAGGTTACAGATTGACCTGGATGGACAGATGAAGGGGTAAGCACAGGGGCACCTACTGGGACTGTGTAGAACTGTAGTTAGAGAGAGCCTCTGTGCCTGCTGTCCTCCAGAAGAGAAAAACACTCCCACCCAACTTGGCATCATCTGTGAATTACTGAGGGTGCACTCAATCCCCTTGTCCAGATCACTGATAAAGATACTAAACAGGACTGGGCCCAAGACTGAGCCTTGGGGATCAGCTGGATGAACTCCACTTCCCACCACTCTGGGCCCTGCCATCACCCAGTTTATCACCAGCAAACAATGCACCTATCCAAGCCATGAGCAGACAGTTTCTTCAGGAGAATGATGTGTGACGCAGTGCAAACAGGATCAGGGAGCTGCCTAGGAAGAGTCTCAGGTGAATCCAGGAGAATACAGTACAGGACTGCTCAGCTTTCAAATCAATCTTGCTTAAAGAATTCTACAAAACTGTAACAAAACAAACACAGACACAAAAACCCCAAACAAATAATGAAAAAAAAACCAAACAAACAGGCAGAAATTAAAAAAACCTAAAAAATCAGGTTGAAGGTTTTTATTAACTTAAAAAAAAATCAAAACAAACAAAAAGTCACATTTCTAAAGGCTGCTTTCCCAGCCTCTTCTCTCTGCTGGGAGGACATCCTGAAGTGGAGCCAGCTGGAAGCAGGTGGGACAGGACAGAACCTGGGCTATTCTCACAGGCCAGCCCTGTGGCTCCCCCATTGCCAAAACCTGGACACATAAACTAAACACAGGTAAGCACATGTGTATAGACATAGCAAAAATATATTTGTCTTAAAAAATATTAGTCTTGGCCACACATTTATACCACTGGAAAGAACATAGTCACTCCTTTCAGTTTTCTTTTCAGTCACTACAAATGTTTAGAAAATATAGGAGTGCAAAAAATGGAAATATCCAAGATCAATATGAAAACAAATAACAAAGATTCCATTTTGAAACTTTGCATTGGACATCCTTTGCAGAAATTTACTCAGAACTTTAAGATTTACAAAAAAGATCAAGAGTATTGGAGTCAAATGGCTTCTGTGTTAGTACAACACAATCCATGGAGACTTCAGCTGGCTGCCTTGATTTCTGAAATATGATGGAGGGAACATCTGAGCAGCTACAGCTCCCAGTTCTCTCAGGGACCTGCCATGCATCTGGGTGGGTCCCATGGCCTTGTGCATGCTCAGGTTCCTCAGGTGGTCTTAAACCTGACCTTCTGCTACAAGGGGCTGGAATTAAGTCTGCCAGCCCAATAACCTGAGAGATGTGGGAATAGTGACTGGCAGTAAAAATTGAGACCAACAATTGTTGAGTACCTCAGCCTCCTCCTTGTCTGTTGTCACTAGTCCTGTCTGGCTTGTGGGGGTAGGGGGGAAATAGGGGAGGTGTGATAGGTTTCTTTTTATCTTTCTTTTCCAACTGAAGTACCTCTAGGTGCCCTTATTATTATTTTTAAAGGCTTTGCCAAATGCAGCTTCAACTGAACCTTAGCTATACTGATCTCATCCTCACACACCAATGTGTTATCTCTCTATCTTTCCCATGATGTGTGCCACTACATATTGCCTGCATATGACCTTCTTGCATCACATATATTAACTTTCAATAACCCTCTTGCTTTAACTTTCTTTCAAAAACCACTTTGCATTACATATGTTGTATGCATATTATTTTCTTGCATTTTAAACAAGGAGATCCTTACACTGCCAAGCTGGTCTCCTGCATTCCTTGTTTGACTTCTTACAAGTGGCAATTGTGAGCCCTTGTTCTCTAAGAAGAATGTCTTCAAATAGGTGCCAGCTCTGTTCAGCTCCATTATCCCTGAGGACAGTTTCCAAGGCATCCTATCCACTACTTCCTTAAAGAACTGAAAGTTTGCTCTCCTAAAATTTAGGGTCCTCATCACAGCCAGACTCTCAAGTGCCCCTGCAAATAAAAGTCAATATATAGACAAATGTTGACAGAAGCCATTTTGAATGAATACAGGGAAAAAAAAAATAAAGAGCAGTTCTCATGCCAAGGATGAAAGCCCAGCACTCAGAATTCACAGCTGGCACTCACTCCCCAGTGCTGCAGCAATACTGAGTCCCAAGGCACAGGAAACTGCCTTTGCCATTGCACCCTTTGCACTCTCCTGAAAAAGCAAGCACTGGCACACTGCTGCTGTCCTTCCCTACACATGGATTTCAGCACAGACCTTCTTGCTTCTCATGTTGTGCATTCCCATTTGTAGACTGCAAAGGCAGTGTGATCAGGAGATGGTTCTTTGCTACACTGCATCACCAGCAGTGGAGACTATTCCATCCCTGACAATTCAACAGGGTATAACTTAGAGGAGGAGTAAGTCAACTGTAGCTGAAATTAGGTTCTGTTCCTAATAATTTCACAGAAACTTTGCAGGACTTTGAACACACCTTCTAAATACCTGCTCTGTTTATGTGGCTGTAAAATGGAATT